CAAGAAACAAGGGAATTTCCTAAGAATTGGCATGTTCCACTAGTACTCTTGCGATCTACCTTACATCCGGCAAAGTCGGCATCACAAAAACCATATAAATCAAAAGTGGTGCTTTTTGGATAAAACAAACCAAGGTTAAAAGTTCCATTAACATACTTAATGATCCTTTTAACCGCAATTAAATGAGATGCTTTAGGAGAGGCTTGAAAACGTGCACAAGCACATACACTAAACATGATGTCGGGTCTACTAGCGGTGAGATAAAGAAGACTACCTATCATACCTCGGTATAGTTTTTGGTCCACATCTTCACCACTCTCATCCGCATCAAGCTTAACACTAGTACTCATGGGAGTAGGCGCATGCTTAGAATTCTCCAACTTAAATTTCTTCACCAATTCCTTCGCATACTTGCTTTGTGAAATGAAGATCCCATCCTTAGTTTGCTTGACTTGGAGCCCGAGAAAGAATGTAAGCTCTCCCATCATACTCATCTCAAAGTGATCCTGCATAACTTTAGAAAATTCCTTGCACAAGGATTCATTAGTAGCACCAAAAATAATGTCATCCACATATATTTGAACCAAAATGAAATCATTTTTCCTTTTTCTCACAAAAAGTGTGTTATCAATTGTTCCTTTTGAAAAACCATTTTCAATAAGAAAACTAGAGAGGCGAGCATACCAAGCCCTAGGAGCTTGTTTCAACCCATATAAAGCTTTTTGTACCCGGTAAACATGATTAGGAAAAGCATGATCTATAAAACCGGGGGGTTGCTCAACATACACTTCCTCTTCTATAAAACCATTTAAGAAAGCACTTTTGACATCCATTTGAAATAGTTTGAAATTTTTAAAACTAGCAAATGCCAAAAACATCCTAATAGATTCCAACCTTGCAACCGGTGCAAAGGTTTCATCATAGTCTATGCCCTCCTCTTGATTGTATCCTTGGGCAACCAAACGTGCTTTATTTCTAGTTACAATGCCATGTTCATCAAGTTTGTTTCTAAAAACCCATTTTGTACCAATAACACTAGCATTGTTAGGTCTAGGAACTAACTTCCAAACTTCATTTCTTTGAAAATTGTTTAATTCTTCATGCATAGCCAAAACCCAAAACTCATCATTTAAAGCATCATTAACCTTTTTAGGTTCTAGTTGAGATAGAAATGCAACATTACCACATTCACTCAAGGCTTTTGAGCGAGTTATAACTCCTTTTGAAGGGCTCCCAATGATTTGTTCCTTTGGATGATTTGATGTGAATTTCCAAGCTTTAGGTGGTTCAACTTGATCTTGAGCGTTTGTGCTATCCACATCCTTTTGAACTTCTATAGAGGGAGTGTCATTGATTTGCAACAAGTCCAATCCTCCCTCAATATCATCATCATCATCTTTCCTAGGCAACACAACTTGAGAGCCAACATTAGTCTCATCAAAAGTAACGTTTATAGACTCTTCAACAACGAGGCTTCGTTTATTGAAGACCCTATAAGCCTTACTTCGAGGTGCATAACCCAAGAAAATACCAACATCAATTTTGGAATCAAATTTATCATGGTGATCTTTTGTATTTAAAATAAAGCATTTGCAACCAAAGACACGAAAATAACCAATGAAAGGAGTTTTTCCATAATAAAGTTCATAAGGAGTTTTCTTAAGCTTTGGTCTAATCAAAACACGATTTAAAACAGGGCAAGCCGTATTGACGGCTTCCGCCCAAAAATATTTTGGTAAATCAAATGAGTTTAACATAGTGCGTGCCATCTCTTGTATGGTACGATTTTTCCGTTCAACAACACCATTTTGTTGTGGTGTTCTAGGAGCGGAAAACATATGAGTTATACCATGATGAGCACAAAAATCATAGAAAAATTCATTTTGAAATTCACCACCATGATCACTTCTTATTTTAACAACTTTCAAATCCTTTTCATTTTCAATTCTTTTAACATGATTAGCAAATTCTTCAAAACAATCATTTTTCTTAGCAAGAAATATTGTCCATGTAAAACGAGAAAAATCATCAATAATCACAAAAACATAGTGTTTGCCTCCAAGAGAGGTAACACGCATAGGACCAAATAAATCAAGATGAAGTAATTGCAAGGGTTTAGAAGTCGATACCTCATGGATGGATTTGAAAGAAGACTTTGTTTGTTTACCTTTGGCACAATCCTCACAAATTGTATCTTTTATGAAGTGCAAGCTAGGTAGCCCTTTCACAAGATTCTTCTTAGACAATTTTGATATTAACTCCATATTTGCATGTCCAAGTCTCTTGTGCCAAATCCAAGGATTTTCATCAATTGCCGCAAGACACTTCACATCTTGATTCACTAACTCATTCATCTCAAAAATGTAAACATTAGACTTGCGATTTGCAATAAAAACAATTTTTCCATCCATACTAATGATGCATTTATCCGGTTTAAAAGAAATATCAAAACCTTTATCACTTAATTGGCTAATGCTAAGAAGATTATGATTCAAGCCATTTACTAAATAAACATCTTCAATAATGGGTGAGGGTTTCTTACCAATAGAACCGATACCAATGATTTTACCTTTCTCACCACCACCGAAGGAGACATTGCCTCCTTCAATCCTTGATAGGGTTGCAAATAACTCTTTGTTGCCCGTCATATGATGTGAGCAACCACTATCAAGGTACCACATCTCCTTACGTCGTTGCCGTGACGTTCCCTACAAAAGAAGAAGATGAAGGTGTAGTAGCTTTAGGTACCCATGTCTTGGGTCCTTGGTGGTTAGTAGTTTTGGTACCTTTGGGTACCCATATCAAACCATAAAAATCTTCATTGTCTTTAATTCTACAATGAGTAGAAATGTGTCCATGTCTCATACAATAGGTGCATACAAAATTTCTTTTGTATGTACGAATGTTAGAACCATGAAACCTATTTCTACCATGGTGATTGTAGTTGGCATAAGCATGAGTGGGTCTAGTCCTACAACCCTCAATTTCTAGTCTTTCAATCTTTGATCTTAATTGCTTGTTCTCAAAATCGAGATCTCCAAGCAATTCATCTTTTAGAGCAAGAGAGGTTGTTAGTTGTTCTAGCTTAATATCACAAGAGGCATGCAATTTTTTGAAAGAAGAGTATTCTTTAGACATTCTTTTAAATTCAAAGTTCAACTCTTCTAAAGCCATAGCTATGTCACATTGCATATAAAAAGATTCACTTTCGGCCTCGGATATTACCTCATGTTCATTTGCCATGAAACAAACATTTGGGTCATGAAGAGCAAGTTTGGCTCCTTCTTCATCACTATCCGAGTCACTTGGTTCGGATTCTTCCCATCCGGCATACATAGCCTTCTTCTTCTTGTACTTCATGTACTTTTCTTTGAGCTTGGGGCAATCCTTAGCGATGTGACCCGGTTCATTGCACTCAAAACATTTACCTACACGAGAGGAAAACTTGTTGTTAGATCGAGGGTTAAATTTTTTGTTCATTTTTATAAGTCTAGAGATTCTTCTAGAGAGATGAGCCACTTCTCTAGAAAAATCAACTTCACTCTCCGACGACGAAGATGAGTTGTCACTAGCTCCCTTGAGAGCTATGGTCTTCAACTTTGGTGACGGCTCCTCAACTTCTCGTGATGGCACTTCCTCCTTCTCCTTCCCCTTGAGCTTCTTCTCATGCACTTTGAGCTTTCCGATGAGACTATCAAGAGCTAAGATAGTGAGGTCATGAGCTTCCTCAATGGCCGTAGCCTTGGGCTCCCATGCCGGAGTCAATGAGCGAAGTATCTTGTAGTTCATCTCTTGAATGGATAATTGCTTATCTAGACCATGTAATTCATTGATGATATTAGTAAAACGGGAAAACATAGCATCAATGGATTCATTAGGAAGCATTTTAAATAGCTCATAATCATGCATGAGTCCACTAATCTTAGATTCCTTAACTTGGGGTGTTCCTTCATGTGTGACACATAATTTTTGCCAAATTTCGTATGCGGTTGCACACGTGGAAACCCTATTGTATTCATTGGGGGAAAGACCACAGATTAAGGCGTTCATGGCCTTAGCATTGAGATTGGCAAGGTGCCTTTCATCATCGGACATGTTCTCAACTTTGGACTTCTCTACATATTTCTTTTCTATAAGCCCTAGGATGTCAAGATCAATGCAACGAAGGTAAATTCTCATCCTAGCCTTCCAATAAGCAAAATTGGTCCCTGTGAAGAGAGGTGGTCTAGTGGTGGATTGTCCTTCCAACATATGCATATTCAAAGAGGCCTCCATTAGATCTTTTCTCTAAGGTTGTTAAACCAAAAACTGATATAGAGACCAAGCTCTGATACCAATTGTTGGACCCTAGAGGGGGGGTGATTAGGGTCAAGAGGCTCTAATATGCAATATAAATTCAGCACAAGCAAAACACAAAACAAAAATGCGATAAAAGTAAGAGAGATAGGGTTAGGAGTTCGTTATCCTTGACGCGCGATGTGTTAACGGTCGACCGGGCCGGTCGACCGATTTCTGATATTTTCCAGAAAACAGGTTTTTGACCAACTTGAAATATTTGCAAGATATTCATTTGACCTCTGAAAATTCTGAAACTTTGTAAAATGTTTTTAATACTAAAAACAAACTGTTTGGAAAAAGAATTTTGCAGATAGGTACTCATACTTGTGAAAAATAGTGTTTTGTGAAAAAACGTTTAAAAGACACAAGTCTAAAAACGTGTGTGTGATTCCCAATAGCTTCAAGTAAACTCAGTAACTCTTTGCCTACATTCTAGCACTAGAGAGAAGAACAAAAGAAGGCTAATATCCTCATATTGAAAGCAATACTTGAGCTTTGATATAGCTTGAATCGGATGAAGCTTTTATATGCCTTTGTTGTTCTTGAAATAACGTTGCTTCATCTTTTTGGCCTCCTCCTCCTTTAGATGTCTTCGTTTTAGCGTATATTCCATCCATCCTCCGTTAATGGCACTAACGAGCTTGACAAATGATTTTACTACATTTACACTCAATAAGCCATTAGTACCGATAATGGTGGTTGTAAGAACATCATCAAAACATGAGGGCTAACAGCTCCATCCTAAGTGAATCATTGGCACGCCTGAGTGCGGCTATTTGCCTTCTCAGATCATTAAGTTCTTTCTGATAAAAAAAAGGAAAAAAATGATCAGATTCCATGGCGAAAATCCAAAGATAGTGAATCAAAATTAGCAACACAACTATGAGCAAATCAAATAGTAAAATACAAGCTCATCTTCCCCTTCATTCAAGAAATATTTTATAATTTTGTAATGATTTGGTAAAATTGTCCATTCAACTGCAACTGTTTGTTAGAACTATAAATATCTGCAACTCGCATTGCAATTGCAGCTGTGCAGTTGTTTGTTTACGCAAGTGACTCATCAATATATTGCAACCTGTTTTCTGGTCTGGAGATGGGAATAGTAGAGGAGTGTCTAATTTGGTAGCTTGGGGCTTGTTTGTAAACCTGAAGAATTTGGAGGCCTGGGTGTGTTACGCTTAAGAAATATGAATAGAGCTCTATTCTTAAACTCGCTGCGGTCCTGGTTTTCCTCTAGAGATGTTTTTATGGAAGCAAGTGATTTTTCACTGTTATTATGGAGGGAATGGCTTGGAGATTAAGAATCCTAAAGTATCAAAATTTTGGGGTGATATTCTTAAAGATTTGAAGTGCTTTTTCAGTAGTACTTCAGTCACAGTGGGAGTTGGTGATAAACCTTTTTTTTTTGGGTTGGATAAATAGTGCGTTGAATGGTCATTAGCATCTCTGTTTCCTGATTTGTATGCTTTGACTCACCAACCAAATGACCGTGGCATCTTTTAGAAAAAGAGAGTAATAGATGGTTATGAGAGATTTCCTTTGTCAGATAGTTACAAGGATAGGATGTGTATAAATACATGGAACTTCTTAATGCGATCAATAATGTTAGTTGCCTAGAGGGAATGGATACTAGAAGGTGGAGATGGGATAGTAAAGGATGTTTTCTCGTTAAATCAATGTATAACTTCCTTAGGGATGGTGGATTAAAAGATGATTTCAATAGTTTGTGGGGCATTCCTATGCCTTTAAAGGTTCAGATCTTGCTATGGTTGATACTTAGAAACAGGTTAAACACTACGGAGATTGTGTAAGAGAAATATTTTAGTTGATAGAGGCTGTGTGCTGTGTGAGATTGAAGAGGAGAGTATAAATCATATTTCTATTGAATGTAGATTAGTTTCCTCATTATGGAATTCACTGAGACATTGGTTTCAATTGTTCTACTATCATTTCATGATGTTGGCATTTGGCAGTGTATGGTCTTGGAAAATTGAGAACATTTCAACTGAAAAAATATATATATGAAATGGGATGTTGCTGTGTGCAGTTTGCTATGGAATGTGTGGTACTGGTACGAACGCAATTAGCATATTTTTCACCATAAGAAAAAGCATGCTATGGAAGTATTACATCAGATTTGGGGAGGCAATCTTCCATCCAGGGATAAGGAGACTGTTTCATGTGAAGAGCAAGAAGAAATGTGCATATCATGGAGCAACCTGCTGATGGTGCCTCAGAAACTGCTGTATTTGAGATCAGATTGTTGCTGTTTCTGGAGGTAAATTGGTTGCTGTTCAAGCTAGGCAGGGAGATAGTGGTGTACTGCTTTCAACTAGGGGTGGTTGATGAGTTTTTTTTAGTGCAAAATTGCCATAAGCTTTTGTTAAATATTTGGTGTGGTAGACAATTTGGTAGATATGATATATGTTGTTATGTGGGAGGTTAGTTCCTTTTTTTCTTCTTGGGGGTGTGTAATTGATATACACTGAAGGTATATCATGTATGCACTTGTTTGGTGTTGGGGGTGCATACGATACCTTGTAACCGACCATATGCTTAAATGAAGTTTTTGATGGCCAGGGTTTCATTTAGAACCCCATCTTTTTTCTTAAAAAAAGAAAAAAAACATACAAATATACATAATTACATACATACACACATGCATGTCTCAAGCACTTCATTTTGGTACCTCTAATTAGCCACTTGGGTCCATGAGCGTACTAGAGTTCTCTAGAGAGCTCATGAATGAAGATGGTATAGGAGGTTTCCTAGATATTTCCATGAGAGGCTTCTAGAAGGATTAGATATTTAGAGGTAAATTACTAGAAGAAATAAATATTTCTATGGAAGCTTCTAGAAGCTTAGATATTTGTATGAGGCTTAAGGAGATATTTGTATAAAGAACTCTAGAGACTAAATCCTTATCATTGATGTAAAGAAGTCTCAAGAGAGAGGATCCTAACCATTCATTGAAAGAGGGCTTTGCCTAAAATAGGAGGCAAGAGTCCTTCATTTGCAACCAAGTTGAAAAGTGACATAAAGTATGAGGTTTCCTTCCATACAAACTCCTTCTTAATCTCTTGAGTGATCAAGTGTTAAGGCTCACTTACTAACCTTTGAGTTTGATTGAAAAAGTGTGCTAAGTGCAGCACGAGTGAGCCATCTTTAAATACAAAAAATTAATTAAAAAAAAAAGAAAGCTCCCGTGACACATACAGTGCCCCAACACACACACTTCATCTCAAAACAAAAGATAACTATATTTCAGACAAGTAAACAAATCTATTCATTTTATTTTCTCAACTAATTTTAAATGCTGAATACAACTTTCTTAATTCAAACATCAAAATACAGTTTCGCTAAATAAGTCCAATTAAAAAAGCAGCTCCAACTCTACATTTGTTAAACTTTGCTCTATCCTTAAAAAGCAAATCTGAAACAAGTAAATTGAGATTGCATACCTGATATCCATACTCATAATCCCGTGCATAGTAATAATCCAATGCATCCAATGAGCCCTCGTTCCCATTGCCATCACCACTGTCTCAATCACCAAACAATTTAACAACAAATAATTTTAACAGCCACATTATTACCGAATTTACTAATTAAAAACCCTTACCTCTGAGATTCATTAACTCCAATAGTTCTGTTTGTCACATTTGCTGAATTTGGTATGATGTTAGGTGCAATTCCATCTGAACTTTCCCCTAAATGACACCGGGTAGAAACCTGTGACTATGGGAATTAACCACAAGCACACAAGGACCTAGGAATTTCCAGTAAGAAATGTACCCCCAGCAAATGCTTCACTGAAGGGTCTCTTTCGATTTGGATCCTGAACATAAGAGAACACGGGCAACATGAGAGAAGCTACTACACATACCTTCATATAGGTCATCATAGCCAACAGATAACACCCAGAAACTGGACTTGATATGAATTATAGTTATAGAATGAAAAAAGATAATCATAGCTATTAGAAGCTTATATCCCAATTTCAAACAATTCTAAGTTGGCAATTAAACTAGAAATATAAGAGTTTCCTGTTATCATCCAGGACACGAAAAATGCCAATTTTATAGCTCTTAGCTTGAATGTATGCCTGTATATTTTGATGCGCATAAGATAGACCATATACACTTAAAAACTTCATCGTTATTTCCCCTTTAAATCCCCTCAAAAATTCATTTTACTATTTGATTGTATATAATATTTTATACACTAATCTAGCTAGTCACAGTATATGTTCCACACAATATATTATAAGTCCACTAGAAGGATTCTCCATAGAGTGAATACACAGTGAGATCAGTCAAGATATGACACGTGTAAACCAATTCTTTTCCTCAGTTTGATTCAAGGGACGTCACCCTCATGCCACAACCATCACAATCCAGTGGAGGAAGATCACGAGCCCCCTCTCACTAGAACAGGTATCTCAATACTAATATCGCATTGATGCCTTGAGGCCTCGCTCGATATTCTATACTACAGCGTCGTAATCATGTACAGTTTGAGATAGTGATACAATAACATGAGCCTTGTAGAACTTGTCCTGCTAAACTTGTCATGAAGTTCTTGATCTTGCATGTTAATTATGATAAAATGTGCATTTATAATATCTCCAGTAAAAAATATCATTCAAAATAATAAGAATTTATGAGTAATATGTATATCGTTTATGCAGCTAAAATTTTATTATTGTATTCTTCATTTTAATGAGATGAATGAATTTGAGCATAAAATTCATGTAATAGTTTATTGAGCATTAGAGGAGATAAATAAAATATTCTATTGTATTTATTTTTTTGAGTTTTTTTGTTTCTCAGTTAACTTTAGATTAAAGCAAAAAATATTAAACATAAGATAACCGAAATTTATAATGTTATTAACATAATTATGAGGAAAAATCAATTATTAAAAATAGTTTAATAAAATAGTAAATACATGCTAATAAGTTCTTATTTGTAATATTTTATTACCTAGTTCACATTGAGTTGCATTCCCCCCCTTAAATTATATGATTTTTTTAATAAATCCATGCATGAAATTTTAAAGTTGAAAAAGAGACGTGGGAATGAAAATAATGGAACCTACTAGAGGACAATGGAATGAGGAATAGATGGAACCCACCTTATTAATATGGCAACAAATGGCTAAACTATCCTTATTTTTTATTAAAATGACCTCCAAATCTATATGAAACTGAAAGGAATAAAATCCCATTCCATCGCTTTATACACCCTCACAATTTCCTTTATAAAGTAGCATAGACGTAATCGAATCTTTCTCTGGTATCAATCTCAAGATAACGTCTATATCCTTTTTTATATATTAAGCGTTACTATGTATAATGTATCTCATGCGTTAAAGTGTGCACGCACGCGCGCGCGCACACGCACACACGCACGCGCGCGCGCGCGCGCGCGCACACACACACACACACACACACACACATATATATATATATATATCATACATCATGTATAGGTCATATTGACTAATCTATTTAATGAGCACAATGTATAGATGTCTGGCTAAAGTGTATCCATGATAGGTTCAATATGTGATGAACTGATGATACATATACCCAACCTTACACGCATGTGTTTATCTTTTGGAAAGGACAATGGTTAAGAAAAAAACAAATAGGAAGCCTCATATTCTGCTCTAGGCTAACCACATCATTTCATTAGTAAAACATAATCTAATGTAATTGTATTAATCTGGATACTCCTTACTAAACCACATTAAACCATGAAACAATTATTCTTAAACCTTACCCTATTAATTAGAATAATTCACACCGCCAAGTTCTAATGGCTGAATGTTAATACTCAAACATTACACATCAAATCAAAACCCTAATCAGTACAAGATCAAACCTAAAGGCTAAATCAAATCATCACTAAATTATTAGATTAATTTCAAACTTCAAATCTATCAAAAGCTCAATATCCTCAATCCTGATATTTTAAATCATTAATAAATTCATATCTTATTGAATTTATATGAATTTACAGTTACTCAATTTCAATATTCGAATCATCATAAATTCATCATCGATTTATCCATATCAAATTCAATACACAAATTTGATTTAATATTATAAGGGAAAATTGTTCCTAAGGTGATACCTTAAATTCAATCTAAGGAAGTGCCTACAAAACTATATTATACACAATCAATTTACTTTATCCACTCTATTAATTTTGATTTATACAGTTTGGGTTGTGTATAAACAAAAAAGGCGTATTAGGTTGTAGTTATTCCTACATCAAGTGATTGTAAATCAATAGTTTTACAACAGTATAATTGAAGAGACAATGAAAAATTTGTTGAAGTATTAAAACATCATGATTTTTGTTTTATAGATGTTTTGAGACATTCAGATCATGATGAATGAAGTGGGTCATCTATTAGAATAGTCTAATCTATGGATCAAGATGTGCTTCTGTAGACTGAGCCCAAGTTGTCACCTTATGAACATTTTTCCTTATTAGTAATACTATTTCATCACACGTCCTTAGGGATCATGAACTAATTTATGATATACTCCTATAAAATCCCAACTTAAATTGTTCAATGTACAACTTCAATTCATATCCTAATTCCAATTGGCAAATCAATCAAGATCCAATTTATCTCAATCTAGAACATCAATCATTTTATCCAAGATCAAATCTAATACCAATTATTAAGATCCAATCAATCACAAATCATTAGATTCTTACTTACCTAGGAAAATTTCTTAGATGTCCTCCAAATAAATATAGCCTAGTTTATTAAAATATGCATATATATATATAGCTTAGTTTATTACGATTTGATCCATAGTTTTTTCAAATTTTAAAATTCTGAAACTCATGAGGCATATATGTCATGCTTTGAAGCAT